TTATACCTGTAATAAGTAAGTATTATACGAATAATAAGTTAATATAAGGTTAGGTTATAATAATTATTATACCGTACTGACACACAACGCATTAAGTATTTACTTAAAAATAAATTGGTACGGTAAAAGAAAATTTGTAAACGTAATAACATCTGTAGTAATAATATAGATAGCGCAAATGGACTGTAATGTTTGGTTTTGTGAAGGATAAAACGCACCCAATAATCATCAATTATTTGTATATTTTTATGTACTACACACATCGACAACGGTTCCCATGTCAAAAATTGTATCTAATTTTTTTTTCTCGTCTTTTTACATATCGTAGAAAACTAATACGATATAAAAATTGATTTCTTAAAAGCAAGAAAAAAAAAATTTTAATTAATACATATTTACTTTATCGTGGAACGTTGGAAATAATGAAGATTTACGACTTTTTTGTATCCAGTGTTGACTTAAAAGTCACGAAAAAGCAAGTAATATTGTTCGAATAAATTGACGGTGAAAACAAACCGTTTCGAATTTAATATATACGAGTACCTATGTATGTAGGTAGTTTGCAGTAGCCGGTGACGAGTTTTCTTACAGTTCCTAACAATAATTCTGATCGAATGTTGTTAAAAAAAGATACGAAGAAAATATTGTCTAGCAAAACGCTTATATTATTATGGAATTATTGCAAAATTGACATAGTACAACCTTCAAAGAATCGTTCGATTAATAGAAATTTTTTTCGGCAAGTCTAAACAGTCAGCAATAATGTAATAATTACAATGTACTCGTAATATTTGCAATTTTTGCATTTCATGTTCCTTTTCATCCAGATTAATGTTGTTTATAAGAAAATCAAAATATTACAAATCTATGACGTTTTACCAAACGAAGCTGTGAGTAACATTTTTCTCTTTCGAATATTTTTATGTAAATATTCAAAAACACTTTTATTAAGTGTATACAGATATAAATCTGTATACATTGTTTAATTTAATTATAATCTTAATATAATCTGTTTACTGTCTACAACTGTATCACTGTATTTAAGTTAGCACTTCGTATAATTTATTTATCCGTTTTAATTTATAAAAAAAAATTAAACATTCGTTACTATACATCGACTCTTGATACATTTATAAAATTACAAATAAACGAAATTTGCAGATGATTAAAATGAAAATCGATTATAATTATGATGAATGGTAACAGAAATTTACTATTCCTTACTATAAATTCGTAGTTTCGTAACTGCAATTTCTTCGAAATCATTATTGCGATCGGATTATCCTACAATTAATAATATTCATAACAAAAACCTATAACAGATCCATTTGAATAATTATAATGAACAGTTTTTTTTTTTTTTTACAGAATTTTTACTGAAATATCTTTAAGCTCCTAGGACGTACATAAAGGAACGAGTACAAGAATATCAAAACATTATATTACTATACTAGCGATACGCGTTCCAATATTTTTATCGACGTATACCTATTAGAACACGCGTATTTCAACGTTCAACAATAGTAATTCGAATATTTTAAGATAATGGACGGTTCACGCGTCGAGATGCTGTCAGGTTCGAACAATAATAATAATTTATCTGAACGCGAGTAGTCAAAATAATAAGCAATGACGATGCATTGCCGAGCTATAAAGTTATGGTCAAGATACGAGTATAAAGCACATGTTTAAATATTAAGCTTAGCTCGTTGAATCGATTTTATTCAACTAATTTTTACTTTGATAACTTCGAAAAACTTCCAATTCAAACCGAGTAGAGTTGAATTAAAAGTTAAAACCATAAATAGTTAATTAAATACACATAACAATACGTACATCGACAGCGCCTTCGTAAAAATAATTTTTAAATGAGTATACGAACATTATTATTTTTATAAAATATTGTTGTTTTCTTTTGAAACAACTAGACCGAGTAAAATTGTTTCATCTTGCCCAAATCTGAACCGCATTCAAGTTGAGTCGGTTTCTATAGACGTACCAATACAAAAATTTAACTATCACCAGAACGGTTAAATATAACCGTTGAAAGTAAAAATAAAACAATTTAAATTTAAAATTTAAAATGAAATTACTCTTTTGGTTTACCTTCGTCTGGGCAATTAAACCGCTAATGTAGTCTATGATTATATATAGTAAATAATTAGTTAATTTTCAATAGCGTAATTCTATATTTTTCTATATAGATGAAAATAAATGGTACATGTCAAGTTTTAATTGAAAAAATTCAACAAACAATAAATAAACAAATAAATATTAAAATGTAGGTACAAAGAATAATGTAAATTAAATAAATACATATTGATAGTAACAAAACGTACAATAATTTTAATAACATTGAAATAAAAAACAATAAATAAATATTAAATAAAAAGCAAAAAAATAATAAATTTCGCTGCCCGTAAAGTTGGCTGAAAATAAGTGAAAGAAAAGCCAAAAAAATAAAAAAAAATGTATATGACCAACCATGCTGCTCGTAAAATTGGCTGCTGCACCGACGCCGTATCGTTTTCCATTGGTTCATACAACTCATTGTGTTGGTCGGTGTCAAGACTAGTGCGAGTCAAGAAGTAACCCTGTAAGCCCTGACCCAGACTCTAGGTCGAACCCGAATCCTTCCATGAAATGTCACGTGGAGTCGAACTCAGAAGGTTCATCCTCTCCACTAACTATCACAGCAAACTTCGCTGATGATAAAGCCATTCTAACTGTCCACACTGATTCAGAAATATAATTCAAACCCATATAAACTTACTAAAAATCTGTTAAAAATACTGGGGAATAAAATTAAAACAATCTAAGTTAATACATTACTGATTCATGCTTAGATATAAAGGTTTCCCCACCATCACTTCCAATAACATACCTCTCCAACCAGTTCAGAATGTCCATTACTTAAGACTACATCTCAACCACCGCTTAACATGGCCACTTCAGATTCGCCTCAAATGGCTCGTATTAAATAACAGATTTCGACAACTTTGTCATATCTTCACCTCAAAACACACTTATCTCCGTAATACAATTTTAATATATGGCATCTAACTCTGGGACTCATCCAAACTCTCTAACATAAATCATACTCAAATCTTCCAATCTAAGTGCTTCCGCAAAATTGTTTAAGTTCCATAGTTTATCTCTAACCGCACACTTTATACAAATTTCTCCATCCCTCTTATTTCCGAAGTATCCAAAACCATTTACAAATGATTCCATACTCATTTTCAAAACTACCACAATTCACTTGTGAGTGAATTAGTCATTTCCCATATCTCAGGTAACCCTGTAAGGCATTCAAAACGCAAAATGGTACTATGACTTATTAGCTGAAATAACTATCCTACTCACGTTACTCACACCGGCTATTATTCTCAACCAATAGGATTGCAGAAAGTTCCGTGAAGGTATGCGAAGAAAATAAATAAAAATAAAAACGATATAATAAATAATATTAAACAAAAAATTAACAGACTGATAATAACAGTATTATCTATAACAAGTACCTATGTGCTGTCAAATTCTCAAGGTGGTGGTTTTCTCATTTTACATGACACACATCCTTTCTAGTAGTGAGTAGGTTTACTGGATAATATTTATACCAGTCTTACGTGTTCTATACTGATTTAATTTTTTATTAATTCGCATCCGAGTAAAGAAAAAAATACAAGCCCGATATTGAATCCAATATCACATAATTCAATTCTCAATTTCATTATACTGTTATTGACAACTCAATAACCAAGTACTTTTCTTTGATACATTTATCCATACATAAGATCCGCATCATGACACATTACGTCAAGTCACGAGGTTATATGAAACTCTTGTTTCATATTAAATATGTGCATAGTGCATCAGGTTACATATTTTGTTTTATCTTATCACTATTTCACAAGCGACACTCCAACTTAACACTATATTGTGTATACATCACACAGAATGTTTTTTGCCGATGATTTATACGTAAATGAACAGATATATTCTTTTTATTGAATATTTAAATCATGACTGCTATAATTCTTTGCGAAAAATTATAATTTTTAATATTTAAAAAATACAATGCATATTTTTATTTTATGTATTCTGAAATGGAATAATCTTCCGGAAATGTTAGCGCAAAATGCATTGCACATCGAAATAGTATATAACAGGAGTTTCTAATCTTTTCAAACAAATGGGGTACATTTAAAATTTCAATTATGATTGATATCTAGGAGATTATAAGAGGAAATTTGTTTGATGAGCAAAAAAAAAAATGTAACAATTATTTATTGTTTATCAAATATTCTAATAATGAACAAGAAAAGTAAATATACATATAAATTTATTAAAGTGGTACCTGACATTAGTTTTTTAACTTTATATTACGATCGGCCAATATTTCTCGAAAGATCTATTCGTTATTTAACATAAAATGGCCAAACGTTTAATTTTATTTCACCAATTAATCACATAGGAACTCGATAGATTATATCCAGTTATTTACTAGAATTTGTATTTCTATACATTTATATTGATTTAGCTAATTTTTGGTGGCTAATATTATTGTTATATGAATTTTGTCATCATTTTCTATTGTTCCATACCTAAAATTGTTTGGTCATCCTTGGTATAAGTATAAAGTTGATCAAGTGTTAAAACTTAAAAAGATAAAAGCACAAGTTTGGCGAAACTTGATAATTTTATGAATAATAAAATAACCTAATTCGATATTGAATTTCCATGAATCGAAAGAAAACAATTGTGGTTCGACATATATATTCGAAAATATTTCATATACATTAATAGTTGAAATATTAAATTTAAACCGAAACTTAGATGGACATGATGAATATTAAAAAAAATCATCACCAGTAAGACATATGGTAATCTACGTATAACAATTTTCGTACAGAAGCGTATTTGTAGGGTGGACCGTAAGCATTCGAGGATTAAAAAAAAATACAAATGGTTTTTTTTTTTTTTTTTTTTTAATAATATTATTACTCTATTTTTCGAAGAAAAAAACCCCAATAATAAATCGAAAATTACAAATAGCTTCCTTTTTTTTTTAACAACGTTACATAATATTTGACGAGGTCATGTGGCAACGAGGTACACGCATTTCACGTCCGCTGATGACCGATGTTTTTCTCGATACGACCGTCCTCCCACCGCAACTGCACAGCAATATAGTAGTGCATGTCAAGTATTCGCGTGCTGCTGCAGTTCCCCGGTTAGTCGTTTACCCTGTAACTATAAAATATAAAACACGATAAAATGTAGTTAATGTAACGATTATTATTTTTTTTTCATTTTACTCTTTATCAAACACGTCCAACACGAGTACAAAGATTATCATTACCATAACCATTATTATCATCATTAATATTGTTATTATTATTGTTGTTATTATTATTATTATTATTATTATTATTATTATTATTATTATTATTA